CGGGGGGCGGGGCCGCGCGTACTGGGGCATGCCAGGGGCAGGGATGCCCTTGCACCTGGTGTCCGCATGTGCTCTGGGGCTGGGGCCGCCCGAGCGCCGCGCACCAGGTGCCGGTGCATGTCACATGCCTGGGGCCGGCCCAGGTTGTCGGCGGGCGCCCACAAATGCCCCGGCGGGAGCCATGGCGCCCGCGGGCACCGCATTGGGGACCACAGTGTTAGTCTATAAGGTTCCACAGGACTCCTCGTCACTTTTAATTATTGTGTGGTTAAATGCCATTCCACAACAGTACAATAAACAATCCAGCATTGGCTGTGCTGCTCAAGAAGCGAAGGGAGATTCTATTGGGAACTATTGTTCCTAAATTTGAAATGTAATGTTTTCCAAAAGTTAGTCTTTCAGAAGGATAGCCATGTTAGAGTATGTCTACACTTCATTCCTCTCAAGAGAGAGGAATGAAAATGCAGACATCCGAAATTGGAAATGAAGCGGGGATTTAAATATCCCATGATTCATTTGCATAATCGCATTATGGCACTATTTCAAAATAGCGCTATTTTGAGAGGAAAAATGGGGTTATTTTGAGATAAAACCCTTGTCTCGAAATAACCCTTACTCCTCAAAAAATTAAGTTTAAGGGTTATTTCAAGGGAAGGGTTTTACCTCAAAATAACCGTGTTTTTTCTCTCGAAATAGCACTGGAAATGTCCTATACTTAGCTTTTGATGTCAATGAGGTGTTAAATATAAGGAACATTGGTTTATAATGGGCAAGCTAGTTAATGCCTGTTTTCAGGCCTAGGGAAACTATGCCAAATTTGCGTGTGAAGGTCAATTCAGCACTCTCTCTCTGTAGTTAGCTTGTAAAATTCTTTTGTAGAACATTAGTTACTTTTAAATCCATTAATGAGTGCCCAGGCAAGCTAAAATGTTCCCATTTCTGGTATCTTACTTATCCTTTGTCCTAGAGATTGTCCAGTTTGGCCAATATACATGACAGAGGGGCATTGCTGACATTTGATGGCATATTATCACATCAGAGGCTCCTACAACTGCACATCTTCTAATATTGAGACTAATGTGGTTAGGTCCTATGATGGTGACACTTGTGTAGATTTGTGAACAGTGTTGGCAATGGGGTTCATTGCAAAGGTAGGTTCCTGGGTGAGTGTGTCTGAGGTGTGATGTGCGACTACTGGAAAGAATTTGCTTCAAGTTAGGGGGTTGTATGTAGGCAAGGATTGGACTGTCTCCCAAGGCCTGAGAGAGTGAGGGATTTTTTTCCAGGATAGGTTGTAAATGGTCAATAATGCACTAGAGGGGTTTAAGATGGGGCTGTAGGTGATGACTAGTGATGTTCTGTTATTTTCCTTTGTTGGGTGTGTCTTCTATAACAGAACCCCAACATCACAGATAAAGAGCAGCATGGGGCAGCAAGCAGGAGCCCCCTGTGTAGGAGTCCAGCTCAGCTGTTCCTCATCTCTCACAAAATTCTGAGATTATATAGAGGTTCTGATGTTATGTCATCCTCATACATTCCAGTGTGCACTGCTGAACTACAATATCTTGGCTAATTTAAGTTTGACATTTCTTGCTAATTGTTATTGGGATTATTATTGAAGCCTTTGTCTTGGTTGGGAGGCTTTTCTTGGGCATCAAGCAGCTTCAGCTCTTGCTCTCAGCAACTCCAGCTCCCTCCTAAGCAGGGTTTCCAGTCAACTGCTCTGCTGCTGAAAAGCTAGGTTCTCCTTACTTAAGGTTGCAAACTTTTCCTACTGGACACTATTTGTGAATAGCATCCAGTCCAGAAAGCTGGCAACCCTATCAGGATCTTACTCCTGTAGCTGGGTTATTATGCCCTGGGTCCAGCTGACTTCACTACTGTGCCACTCTTTCAATTTTATTATATGTCTTGTGATTTAGTGTGTTTCTTAAGGTCTCAGCTCCTGGAAACAAGAGATTCAGTGAGACTCTCTCTTTTTTTTCCCCTTGGCCACAGAAATATGACCCACGCGCAACCTACCAGCTCCGGGCCCAGAAGGCAATCAACCCCTCTCCCCCCAAATATATTTTTAAACCCTCATGATTGGATCCTGCGTCATCCCCCACCAGCCTGAGCTGCTGAAATCGGCCAAGGCCCCCACCCTGAGCCATCTCCCACTTGCCTGTGGGGTGACTCCTCCCACTCGCATCAGGTGACTCTCCCGGTGCCGAGCGAGAATTAGCACGAAACGCCCCTTCGTGCCCCTCCCCTCTCCCCCCAAATATATTTTTAAACCCTCATGATTGGATCCTGCGTCATCCCCCACCAGCCTGAGCTGCTGAAATCGGCCAAGGCCCCCACCCTGAGCCATCTCCCACTTGCCTGTGGGGTGACTCCTCCCACTCGCATCAGGTGACTCTCCCGGTGCCGAGCGAGAATTAGCACGAAACGCCCCTTCGTGCCCCTCTTCCCCCGCCCTACCGGTGCTCTGCCGCTCCGGGCTCCCGGCGGCTGCCCCCTCTCCCCATGCCGGAGGGGTCCGGGA